GTGGAATATAAAGAACAATAAAAACTGATGAACAAGGACAGATCCAGAGAAGGAGAGGCATCGATCAGACTGTCGGGCCTCAAATGGAAGGCAGGGGATGGTGGGAGTAAGGAGGAGAGATCAACCAAAGGACTTATATGCAAGCATATGGGCCTAACCAATGGTCACAGACAACAGGGGGGTGAGGGCATGAGTGGGGGGTTGGGGGGTAATGTGGGGATAAGGACATATGTAATAACTTAATCAATAAAAAAATTTTTTAAAAAAGAATGCAAAGAATAAAGCAAAACATGTTAATGAGGGGGAAAAAAAAGATACCAGGGCATGAAAGGGTCAGACTGCACTGGAGATGTGGCCATTGAACATTGGAAAAACAAGGAGTTTGGGGGCACACAATGAATAAGTAACAAGTGCTCCTGTATTTTGGCAATATGCATCAGGAACCCTACCCGAGGCCAGAGCTGCAATATATTTCAACATATATATGCACTAGAGGCCCGGTGCACAAAATTCATACAAGAGTAGACCTTTGCAGCCACGGTGGCTGCCTCGATCCCTCCCCTGCAGCTGCAGCTGCAACCCCAGCTTCATCCAGAAGGTCATCCAGAAGGACGTCCTTATGGCCATTCGGTCGATTTGCATATTATGCTTTTATTATTATAGATTATTATAAATATATGTTAATACTTTTCACTGGTATTTGTTAAGTTGTACAATAAAAACTATTAAACACTGAACCCTTTAACAAAGTAACTCCACATCTGGAAAATCCAGCCTAGCAAAACAAGTCAGGAGGAGTGGAAAACTGAGCCGTAAGGCTGCTCATTGCAGCTTTTCTTGTAACTGGAAACCACCTATATATGCAACAACAGAAAGCAGGCCAGTAAATTATCATGCCTTCATAAAATATTCTATCGTGCTACCATTAACGCTGGCTTTTCTTCTGAAATGGTAATGGCTTTACAGCCCTCATAAAAACTGATATGAGTCTCTGAAAAGTTCATCAGTAAGATGAAATTTCATGAAGATGAAAGTTTAGAAAACACCCAAATTCCACCTTGAGGTAACCAATGCTTAGCATTTTACAGACTGACCCCTACATACACACACAGCAGGGGAGTGAAAATTAAACATTGAGCTGCCCTCCATCAAAATCTGACCGCATGCCAGATGCCCTATAAAGGACTCTGTCTCTTCACAAAGCCTTGCACAGATTAATGCTAACCCATCGCCAGTTCCCATCTCCTGGCTGGGCTGCAGTGCCTGGAACCTCCCCCAGAGCTGACCCGGGGCCTCGCACCCTCGCTGCCTATGCCCAGCTCCCTCGGGACCACCCTGTGGCCTCGTCTGTGTCACACAGAAACCCAGAGTGCCCTGTTCAAAGGCTGTGGAGCACGGCATCAAAGGCATGGCACACTGCAGGTTATTAGCTCAATCCCATCTCTGTTGAACCTCCAAGCTGCTAATTTATCATATATATGTTAAGAAATTAAACATTTATTAATACTTAGGATTAATATAAAGTAAGATGCATAATGTATAATGTTATATGATATAAAAGTTAATAAACCCATCTTTATCCTTAAAATACTAAGAGAAATGCTTAGGATGTCAATTCTCTGTGGGACTGCCAGTCAAAGGATAAATACACACGGATTTAAATAACAAAGCTTCATTAACAGAAAAAATACAACAGTAGAAAGCAAAGAGAAAAAAGCAGAGAACAAAATTATCTATGTACACTGAGACCTCAAGTGTTTTAAAACAGGGAAGAAATAACAGAGAAATACTGCCACTTGGGCTGCAGCAGTGGGGCTCAGGGGTGTGTGCCCCACTTCACTGTGTGCGACTTTTTAGGATGAAGAAACCAGTAAGAAAGCTTCTTTCCACTCAGGGGACAAGCTATGCGTGTGCGACGTGCCCTGGGGTGGGAGAGAGAGCTCAGGCCCCACTGTCTGCACAATAAGTCCAATTCCCAACAGCCGAGGAATTGAGGTTGTTTATATGAAAGCCGGGGAGCTTCTCGTTGCCAGGTGGCCCCCCCCGCCCACCCAACCTGCCCAGGACTGCAGTCAGTCACCTGGCAGAAAGCCTTGTGCCGTTAGAGGTCGAAACCGCTGACGTGAGGAATACGCTGCCGAGTGATCCCTGAGCCATTTCTGAAACGAGAAGATAAAGCAAACATCACAAAGCGGAGACCACAAGAAATGGGCGTGCGTGCTGAAACAAGAGGGCCTGGCCGCCTCTGACCGGCCCAGTGTTTTCTGCACTGCACCACCGCCACGAAGCTGCACTGCTCTTCCAGGGCGTGACCATGGGGCCAGTCCTCTGTAAGGAGGCTCGGAAGTCCTTAATTTTCGTGTGGTCACCAGTGACAACAAAGCTATTCCACTGAAACTTCATGTCGTCATACAGCAGAAAGTGGGAACTGAGAGCGAGGACTGACATCTGCTTACTTTGCTGCAGTGACCTATCAGCTACCTCAGGAGACACATCCACGCCTCTTAGACTCCTCAAAGAATTTCCTTCTCTTCCTTTTGGTGCCCTACCTGGAAGGTGAAGTCATGGCTCAACATCTTTATCGTATAAGCTGCATGGCCAAATCCACAAAATGCCACTTAGGCATTCCCAGCGGGGAGGGGCCCGCCAGATGGCCATCCTGCTGTCCACGCCCATTCCTGGGGTCCCCAAGACCCTCTCACGTCCCCAACTGTCCTTGCTCGTGGTGCTGCACACCTGAGCCATCCTCAGTAGAGGAGGGCCACGTGCCTGGGGAACTGTCCTCACTCTAGCCACTCGGCCACCACAGTTACCGAGGCAGACTGACCTGTCACATAGGGTTCCAGTGCTTTCGGCACCAAGCTTCTTGCCATTTTCAGGTCTTCAGCAGAGCAGCTTCCAGACTCCAGTCCATAGGCCATCCCCATGCGCTTCAGCACTTCTATGTCGTCATGGATTTCAAACGTGTTGTCAAAATTGAATAGATACTCGAATCTGGAGGAGAAAGTCCCCGTTAGAAAAGTGCCAACTGCAAGACGGAGATGGCCATGCTTGGTTCAGGGGCTCTGACCATTCCGCAGGTGCCCTTCCATCTGGCATCTTCACAAAATCCATCAACTCAGAAACAATGACCCGAGAGGCTCAGGCAGCATCGCTAACCACCGTCCACACCCTGCGGGCACATCCCAGCAGGCTGGTCTACGCTCAGCTCTGCCTGCCTGCCCCACAGGACCAGCAGTGAGCACCCTCTACTGGCTGTGCTATGTCTGAGTAGCTGTCCTAACAACGATCCTAACAGGTGCGATTTACTTTCCTTCTAAAAGAGAGATGCCTGCCCAGCCATGGTGGCTCACTGGTCGACCTATGAACCAGGAGGTCACGGTTGTATTTTTGGTCAGGGCACATGTCTAGCAGAGTCATGCAGGAGGCAGCAATCAATTATTCTCTCTCATCATTGAGGTTTCTATCTCTCTCTCCCTCTCCCTTACTCTCTGAAATCAATAAAAAATATATATTTAAAAATGAGAGAGATACCTAATCAGGGAAAAGCAAATTTCTAAATTAATTATGCTAAAAAGATTATATTTAAAAATTATAGAGACTTATATAAATAAATTGACCAGCAGTTAACACCAACGACTGTGGCATTCTTCACCTCTGACCTGAGACCCCCAGCTTAGACCAGGGGGCCAACAGACAACCTTGTACCTACTTGTCATTAGAAATGCTGCAGTCGATGACGGTCTTCTTGCTGGTGTTCACAATGATGAAAGGCAGGTGGATGACAGAGTTGGGCGGAGGTGGCCGGCTAGCCTGCTGCTCTGCCTGGCGGTTTCTCTGCACCAGATTCTTGAAGGCAATTTGCTAAAAAAAAAAAAAAAAATGAGCAATCAACACATGACTCATATCAGTCGCCACCAAACCTAACACCTTCTCCCCCGGCATCCTCAAAACCCCTCCCTGGGCCCTACAAGACAGCAAGAGGGTCTGGGCTCGCCTTGGGAGATCAGAGAAAACAACTGAGGGCTGAAGGCCCCGGAGAGCTGCCCAGCAAAGAAATGCATCCTAAGAAACCAAATCCCCCGAGAACCGAGACTGCCGAGACCCACACTCACACCATTTCGACAGAAACACCCTCGCAGAGAAGGAGGAGGAGAAACGCGTCTATTCTGGAGGTTATGGTCCGCCCACCCATCTGGGGAGGGGTCTGCGAGTGCCCGCGCCTGTCCCACCACGTGTCACGCCTCAGAAGGCAGACGTTCAGTTGTGGACCTGTAGCTTCCCGGGAAAGCAGAAACGCTCGATGGCCCTGCTGGTAAAGGGTGTCTCCTCGGGGGACGTGGGTCCTTATTTGAGGCCTAAAGCCAGAAAGCCAGGGCCTCAGGCCCTGAAATGACGTTTACCTTCAAGGTAATTTTCTTGCTGTTAATGTAAAGCCAGGAGGATTCCCTCCCTCCCCAGCCAGCCTTCTGCCAAGCTGCCCAGCACTGGGACCAGGAGCTCCAGGCTTAGTGGGAGAGAGGAAGTGATTTGGATTTTTTTTTTTAAGTAGCTATGATGTGCTATAGATGCAGAAAAAGAAAACAATTCATTCTGGAGAGGACAACTGAGTGGAAGAACTTGGAAGTCCAGAGGGGCCACTGCCTGGAGCAACCTCCTGTCCCAGCAGAATCTGTGACCATTTATTTGCTCTTCCATTTCCCAAGTCCCCTCTGCCCCGCATCCCTGGCTGTGACCACTTCTCCCCATCAAAGCACCCCTTCAGCTGGTCCCCCTCTTTTGAGGGCAATGGAGTAACCCAGAGTACAGTAAGGCCTCCCCATGCTGAGTGTGCCTGGCCTGGGCGAGGCACACACCCTTTGCAGTGGACCCTGGGCTCGCTGGACGCTGGGGCAGATGTACCAAGCCCCACAGTGACCCCTCCTGGACTTCTCCCATGTCCTGAGATCTCCAATCTCAGCTGCTAGGCCTGTCCTCAGACCCCACCCCCACCCCCAAGGGTCTCGCTACCACAGCTTCTAATACCCCTGACCCTCTGGTTTTTGGACACATGTTCCCATGACTCCACAGCGGCCTCCAACCTGACCACAGGGCCCATGGCCTTGCTGCCCTTGGGGTCCACAAATATCTCAATAAATTGCTGCTAAGCCATCCTTGCCTTTACTGACCAATCACCACTTCTGCTGGCTGCTGGCCCGGTGCCCCAGGCAGCGACCCCAGCACTGTGCTGCCTCAGTCTGGGGACCAGCCAGTCCCCCTCCACCAAGATCCTTACACATGTGTTTGAGTATTTGCTTCTAATCCAGAACATGCATCCTCAGGACCCTACAGGGGTGAGGCTGACGCTCAGGGATCTCTCTGCAGGCCCAGGGGATGCCCACACAGCTCACTGTCCGCCTACGTCTGAGAGGACGGGAAATGGGCACATTGACACCTGTTCTCTGACCATGTGTGCTCACCTCTGACCAGTAACTGCCGCCTCAGGCTCACTCTGCATCTCACACCCCTGGTCTGGTACTCAGAGCACACTTTACACACACCCCAGAGAATTTGTACATGCTCCCTTCCTGAGGGGCTATCACTCCCGCCATTTGGACACTCTGTGACAAGTGATGCACTCACTCATGGTCACACTCACACATGCATGCATGCTCATACATGTGCTGTTACATGCTCACATACTCACAAGCATGCACACACTCACACTCACACAATCTGTGGCCACAAAGCCCATGGTCATGAGCGTTCGTATCAACGACACACTCACAGGATGAGCCCAGTGAGTATTTATGAAATTCACATCCAAAACCTCCAAGCAGAGATTTTATTCCCCATGTAGGAATAGAATGAATGGCAAGTTACTAAAGACATTAAAATTACCTTGCCTCCAAAGATAAGCCTTTCATTACCTGTAGAATAAGTTCTTGAAGTTGAGACTGTTTCTGTTTTATTCTTTCAAGTCTTCTTTGTCTCTCTACCTTCAAAAACAAACCACCAATACGAGAAGTCATCGCAATGGGTTTAATACAGCAGAATTTAAAGCCCGTGTCAACACAAGGTCACCCAAGCAGGCTCCTGAAGAATGTGTTCACCCTGAATCTAATGATGGAAAGCAGACCAATCTAGAGCATGGCACATGAGACAAGACACAGGCAAGTTTTTCTTCAATCCAAAATCTGCATCCTTTTCTCCCGTCTTCCCTCACTTTCTGCATATGACTATTGTATATTTTTAAAATCCGGGTCCTGACAGGATAGCTCAATTGGTTCAAGCGTTATCCCTATATGCCAAGGTTTCGGGTTTGATCCCCAGTCAGGTCACATACAAGAATCAACCAATGAGTGCATAAGTAATTGGATCAACAAATCAGTGTTTCCATCTCTCTCTCTCTCTCTCTCTCTCTCTCTCAGCTCAATATATAAATTTTTTCAAATTATTAAAAATCCCCAAAGTTGGAATTCAGAACTGACCTACACTGGAGTTCACGGCCCTCACTGGTCCGACCACCCCCCCACCCACAGGGAGGGTCTGCAGAGCCCACACACACGGGACAGCCCACCAACGTCAGAGACCCTGGGAAACCAGGACAAACCTGCCCACCTGGTCCAGGCCAGGCACAGAGAGCGTCAGACCCTTAGCAGCACCAAGGCCACAGACAAAAAACGCCGGCGTTGGAGGAATGACTCTCCCTGGACACATGAGCACAAAAGGCCAGCTGCGTACCTCCAAGTTCTGACATTCCTGAGCTGAGTTGGTGGGCAGGCCGATCCATTTGATTTCCTTCTTCTCCTTGGAGATGATGTTCATGGCCATCAGCACATTTAAGGCATCATAGACTCGCCGTCTTATGTTCTTCTGATCATAAGCCTGGGGAAGGGGAAGCGGGAGTTTTCCACACGATCCCGGACAGCTCACAGATCAACGTTAAACGTCAGACCCTGAACTCAAGGCCGTGCACTGTCAATCTGCTGTGTGTCAAACAAACCCACGGCAGCAGCCGGCACCACCCCTAACCCATCCTCACGGAACCAGCCAGGCCGGGCCAGAGGGCATTTCTGCAGGGGGAGGTTGCCCGGTAGGCAGAGCCAGAACCACACACAAAATCATTTAGGGATCATGGGGCATCATAAAAAATTCCTTTGTCCTGTTCTCGGACCTCTCTGTACACCTGAAGGTGTCTCAAATAGTAACACAGTGGGCTGCGCAGTGCTGGGGTGCCTGTAACTCCTGGCCGCCCCGTACCCCCACCACACAAACTTACGGATTCGTTTGGTAAGATGTGGTTATCGGCGGCACTGAACTCTGCGACCAGCTCGTCGGCCACCTCATTATAGGACGTGGTTCCCTTCCTCTGCACCTTCTCACAGACCTTCATGGAGAAGTGCCTCAGGCCCTTACCGTTCTTCTCGCCTTTCCTGTTGCGTTTCCTTCAAAAATACAAAGGAGAAGTAATGCCCTTAGCATTCGTAGAGGCAGCCTTGAATTAAGACACGTTTACCTTAAGGGGCTAGCAACCTACACAAGGGCCCGAGTCCCGCGGGTGCTGGAGCTCACGCCACAGACCGCAGGGGAACCTGGCTCCGTCTCCGAAGAGCATACTCGGCACCACCAGTGGGTGTCCGACGTTTCCTCTCTTTCTTCAGAGGCCAGACCTCACGTTTGTATCTTCAACTCAGGGAAGATGGGGCAGACGCCCAAAGGGATGGGACCCAGTACCTATCTGATGGGCATCCATACACTAAACACTGCTTCTTCAAACAATGTCCATCAACATCAGGAATTATGAAAATTTTACTGCAAATTTAGGACTTTTTAGGGCAAATTTAAGCTAACAGACAAGGGGAGTGCTGAAGACCGGAGTGTGCTTCCGATTAGGAGTGAACCCAAATGTCTGAATTTTAAGTCACCATGTTAAGGAAAGGGCAGCTCTGAGTTTCTAACTGGATGACTTTGGGGACTGATGATTTTTGCTTGAGAACCAAAATAGACATGATTTTATAGCTTTGTCTCTTTGTCAGTTTTTAAAGAAAGTCGCAAAGCTGATCTTCAAATAAAACTGTTCTCAAATTGGTTTGCTTTAGTGGAAGAAAGGATCAAAGTGACACAGTGTGGTGGGGCCGTCAGGTGGGACCAGCGCCATGAAAAGGCAGCTCCATGTGGCTGCAGCGGGTGAAGCTGCTGTGAGTCCATCACATTTACACGTCATCCCCTGAAAGTTACTTTCCAGTGCAGACAAGGGAAAGTGCCAGGGTTACACTGTGCTGAAGGTCAGCTCCCTCCTCTTCTTCCCCCAAATGCTGACCACACCTTCGAGTGTAGCATAGCCTTCATCCCAACTACGGGGGGACAGCTCTCCCGCCCGTCACAGTAGAACCATCACCCCAAAAATTGGGGGCAGCTCCCCGCCCTCCACAATATAACCATCACCCCAAAACTACTGGGGGCAGTTCTCCCACCCTCTACAATATAACCATCACCCCAAAACTACAGGGGGCAGCTCTCCCGCCCTCCACAATATAACCATCACCCCAAAACTACTGGGGGCAGTTCTCCCACCCTCTACAATATAACCATCACCCCAAAACTACAGGGGGCAGCTCTCCCGCCCTCCACAATATAACCATCACCCCAAAACTACAGGGGGGCAGCTCTTCTGCCCTTTACAGTATAACCATCACCCCAAAACTACAGGGGAGAGGCTCTCCCGCAGCCTGACCTCCTTTACGAGGAAAAGCGTGCCTTGACTACACATCTCTTCTGGGCACACATTGGACATTTAAAATCCTCTGGCGTGACGATCAGCCCCTACGGCCACAGAGAGCTAGGGGGTTACAATTCTAGGCAATGTGCTCACCCGGCAGACCAAGGTGAGGGGTCTGAAGGCTGGTTCTGTGAGACAAAGTGAGTGTTAGGGGTGTGTGGGCTTCCTACCACGATAGTGTTTGGCGCTGCAGGTCTCTGAGGCGTACCAATTACCTACAGTCAAAAAAGACAATTCAGAACACAATCAGAAATCTCCCACATACGACGCTGCCATTTTATCATTTCTCATTACCTACAGCCGCTGTTGAATGGCAATGGCCACAGATATCAGAGAGAACAGTGACAATGTGAGTAACCCAACAGACGACCCTTTGAACTATGACGATGTGGCCACACTATTCTGAACGTGTCTTTATTTCCCTTCGTCACCCTCAGGCATCTTCTCTAGTTACACAACAGCAGCAGGAAATATCAGGCAGCACAAACAAGCCAGCAGAACAGCGTGCACCTCCGGGGCAGGTGCCTTTAGCCGTGAGGCGTGTAAATCACATGTCCCAGGTACAGAATTCTGGGGGGGACTCAGCACATTTCTATTTTCCCTCTTTTATTTCCCTTTTAATGATACAGATAAGGATAAAAATCTACCCTTCAGGGGTGCTAAAATGAGGCCAAAACCAGAAAACAGCTCTCAGAAGAGAAGGAACACAGGGCAACTCTGGTGCGCCGTTAGCTTGTCCGAGTGCGGGAAGCCCACCCCAATGGTGGTTTTGTGGGGGGAACCCAGGCACCCCACAGAGCACAGGGCAGGGGAAAGGGAAACGAACAGCATTGGGAACAAAGGCAAGGGGTCTCAATGCCCACAGCACAGCCTGGGACAAGCCCATGTCTTGGGGTGACGGGGCCAACATGCCCCTCATCGGCTGTCTGAGCACCCAACACCCATCTCTTCACCAAAGGAAGGGAAGCCTTGCTTCATCTTTTAACAAGCATTTAGAACGGTGGTCCTATCAATTAACATTAAAATATTAACTTGGGGGACATGCAGACATTGTACAGCCAAGTAAAATTCCAACTTTTCTGGCAAATACTGTATGAACTCATTTATATGTGGAATCTAAAAAAATAAACCAAAAAAACTTCAAGCTCAGAGGTTGGGGCGGGGGGCGGGGAGGTAAGCAAAATGAATGAAAGGGGTCACAAGGTACAAGCTTCCAGCTATAAAATAAATGTCATGGGGTAATGTACAGCACAGTTAATAATGCTGCCCTGCATATGTGAAAGATGCTAACAGATCTTGAAAGTTCTCATTACAAGAAAAAAATGTATAACTATATATGATGACCAATATATAGACTTTTTATGGTGACCATTTCATAGTGTATACAAATATCAAATCGTTATGTTGTACACCTGAAACTAATATACTGTTGTATGTCAATTATAGTTCAATAAGTAAAATCTAATTTCAATTTCTTCAAAGATACTGTTGTCTGACTTTCTCAAAACTGATAAACTGGCCCTGGAAATCATTCAGAAACACTTTCTGAGTTACTACACAGCAAAGTGCCTCAGCAACCTGATGTCACTGAACATGTTAACATCAGGCATCGAATGCTAGGGCAACCTCACCCGCGGGCAGAGGGTCAACTGTGGCCTTAGACTTGCTGTGGCTGCTGCCTGGCTATTTTAAGCTGGACGCTCCTTCTAGTCCCCTTCTTAGTGGGATAAGTGTGTTACCTGCAGTGGCCCCGGGGCAGCTGACCCTGCACTTTGTAAATTATCCCTAAGCCCAGGTCACCTGTCAATGTTAATGATCCACAAAACACGGAAAGAAAGACAGCTCAAGTGAATGTCATTCTTTTCATTCACATTTCCAATGACAAGCGCTTCATCACAGTGTTTTTCAAACTGTAGATCACCCTCACTCAAAAGCCATGAAGTCAAATAAATCAGTGAATTTCTGAAAAAATTCAACAGGATAGAGAAGATAAATCTCCTAGAGAGGAGGAATGCCTTGCGAAACTTTTGTTTCTGTTAAAAAGGTGCGTGCATTTACCATGTACGGGGCGCTGGGTCACGGTGGGGAATGCAAGCCTGCTAAGGCCCGTGGTCCAGTTTGGGAAACATGGAGACCTGTCGCTCACATTTTCCTGGACCCCATTGGTTACATTCCCAGGAGAGTAGATTTAAGATGCCACCACACCTCAGTGGGAAGACACCAGCAAGACTTACTGGCCTCACGTGCTGCAGCTCCGCTCAGAAGAGGGCTACCTAACTTCAGGGTCAGTGCCCCACCAGACACTCAGGCTGGGCCCTGAGACCAATGCCCTCTCTATTGTCCTCTCCCTAACCTGCGTCTCTTCCTCAGACCAAATGTTCTGCAATGAGAACGGAAAGCCAGAGGGCCAGGCACACAGCAAGGGCTCAATAACTGCTCACTGTGCGGACAGCCTTCCTAAATGATAGGCTAGGTGAGCGAGGAGGGCTCCTTGCGCCCACTGGCATCACCCACATCTTCGAGGAGGAGTGGAGGCCAGCAGCACCTGCGGGTTTTCTCTCTTTGCTTTTTTATTTTCACTATTTTACATGAAGATTTTGCCCCGTGGGGAACACCTCCATCGGGGCTGTGAGCTGAACACCAGACCACCGATTGGGTGATGTGGAAAGACCTAACAAGCCTCAGGTTACATTTCCACTCACATGAAGTTCAATGAAGTCTCACCTCTCATGTCAGAATCAGCCAGTCCTCTTTGTTTTTAATTCCTTGGTTTATAACGTTTTAAGAGACATTTGCAAAGTATAGGCTTTAATTCACAGCCCTGGGTTTTGCAAAGGATACATTACCACTACTAGCTCCACCCCAAACAGCTTGATTCAAATCAGTGATTTAACTTTTGGACTGACAAAGTTTAGGGTGCACCAAAAGAAAATCTCCCCGTTATTTTCTTCCCAACTATTTACACTTAATAAAAATAGAACTGTTCCTATAATTAATGAGGTATTCCCAAGCTAAATTCTGCTATAATATACAGTACTTTAAAATGTTAATTATACATTAAAACATAAAATGGAATATTAGCTTATACCAAAAAGACATTTACTGAAAAACAATAATGTGCCAAATGTGTCTACAAACTACTTGCTTTGGAAAAAAAAAAAATCACAGCCATTTTGCTAAGCAAACATGGCCAAATTTTATTGAGGGGCTGACAGGGAGCAACATGGGGTAAGGGGCCCACACAGTCCTGGGAGAGCAGATCCACCTCTGGCCCCTCCCATGGAACTGGCAAGGGCAAGGACATACCTGTCACACAGTACCCTGACAGCCTGCAGAGACCTAACCCCACGTGACCTGAACACGGACACCACCCTCGTTTCCCTGGCAGGTAACATCCACCCTAAGGAGCGCCAGAGCCAAGGTGCAGGCAGCCCCCACACAACTCCATGCCGCTCGACCTGAGCTCTCCATGGCACACCTAAGAAACCTGCAGGGCAGATCCAGGACCAGCAGGGAGCACGTAGCGACAGGGCAAGCTGCCTGGCCTGGGCTGAGTCCCACCGTCCCCCGCACAGAGGGGAAGGCCAGCCAGCAGCAGAACACAGAAGCATGGGGGAGACCACCTGTGATCTCCGAGAAAGGCAACCGTCCTAGCATTGCGAGCATTCGACAGGAAACTGCAAAAGCAAACCTCACACTCCAAACCCCAAGCTGGAACCTAAGGGTCACAGTCCCGAACCCACAAGCCCACCCTACCTGGGGCCCCTTACCACTTGCTGTGTAATGTTGACATTGGATGACTGTCCGAACGTTTTTGGCAAGAGCTGCTTCCCAAGCGTGTTTACTGTGGAGGGGTGAACAGCTACTAAGGACACAACACCTGCAACGCAAGGAAACGAGAGGTTAGTTCTTTGCTGAATTAAGGTTAATAGTGAGTTTCAGGTCAGTGATGCTTCTAATTAGAAAGTCCTTCCCCACTTTTACCATTTTAGATCTATGGATCAATAACACACACCTTTACTAGGCTCAACTCTCATTTAAGGGGGGCTGATGGACACAGAGGCTTGCTCTCCCTACAATTAGCCCCTCTCTGGGGCTGGGGCACAGGTGCCCACAGGCTTTATCACCAACCTGCCCCAAACCCCTGTCAGCCCATCTACAGAATGTGCTGGTGGGACTACAGGCTGTAGAGATAACAGCTCTTAAAAGACTCTAATTTTATGACAATCACAGAATAGAATACGCTCAGGTGAGAGCTCCAATGACTTCCGGGCCTTTACCACATGAGAAGAGGAGAGACTCCTGTTCGGGTCATGCCTCGAGACCCTTCTGGTTTCCCTAAAGCAGACCAGCTGGGAGCCACCTATCCTCTCGGGGTTTGGAAGTGGTGGTTCTGCAACCAGGCCTCACACGGGGCCGGCATGCCATTTTCCTTCATTTCCACCCAGTTCAGCATCACGACGACTTCCAAATAACCGGTGAGGCATCGTCTTCAGTGTAGCCTGGCCTAAAGTTTCACTGAACCCTTTACAATCCATGCATTTTAAAGAACAGACCTCTTCAAAATTCAATAAACAATGAATTTTGCTGCTACATAAAAACACATTAATTTCTCTTTAATAACCGAAACTGACCAACTGACTAACCTGAATATCTAACCAACAGAAACATATTTAATTTACTTTCTGTAAATAAGTATCTGTTTTGAATTTTTTATGTTCCTCTAAAAATAGAGATCTGCAGGGTGGGGCAAAAGTAGGTCTACAGTTTTGAGTACACAAAACACTGAGTTTGCTCTTGTATTATTATTATTAAGTACTAGAGGCCCAGTGCACAGAATCCTGCACCAGTGGGGTCCATTGCACCGGTGCACAATTGGGGTGGGGAGGGACCACAGGAATTGCTCCAGGGCATGTCCAGCCCATCTTGCCCAGTCCCGATGGAGCCTGCTGGTCAGTACATGTCATGGCTGCCAGTCAAACAGCTGAACCATCAAACGGTCGCTTAGGCTTTTATATATATAGACTAGAGGCCCAGTGCACAATAATTTGTGCACTGGTGGGGGGAAGGGTGTCCCTCAGCCCCACTTGTGCCCTCTCACAGTCTGGGACCCCTCGGGAGATAACGACCTGCTGGCTTAGGCCTTCTCCCGGGTGGCAGAGGGCAGGCCCAATCCCTAGGTGCAGCCCCTGGTTGGGCTCAGAGCAGGGCCTATTGGGGAGTTGGGCGCCGCCCCCTGTCATGCACAGAGCAGGGCAGATCCGGAGGTTGCAATGCCACCCTCAGTCACGCTCAGGGTAGGGCCGATTGGGGGGTTGGGGCGCCGCCCTCTCACACTCTCAAGGCAGGGTCGATGGGGAGGTTGGGGCACCGTCCCGTCACCCACAGAGCAGGGCCAATCAGGGGGTTGGGGCACTCCCCCCTGTCACACTCAGGTCAGGGCCGATGGGGAGGTTGCGGCTCCACCCCGTCACACACAGCAGGGCCCATGGGGGCGGGGGGACGCACCCTGTCACACACAGAGCAGGGCCAATCAGGGAGTTGGGGAGCTCCCCCCTATCAGGCACAGAGCAGGGCCGATCAGGGGGTTGGGGCACCTTCCCCCGTCACAAACAGAGCAGGGTGGATAGGGAGGTTGTGGCCCTGCCCCCTGTCACACACAGAGCCGCAGGGCGATCATGGGGTTGGGCGCTGCCCTGTCACACTGTTTCAGGGGCCAGGAGGCCTCGCTGCTCCGCTGATCCCAGTGCTGGGAGGCATATTACCCTTTTACTATATAGGATAGAGGACTGATGCACGGGTGGGGGTCGGCTTGTTTGCCCTGAAGGGTGTCCTGGATCAGGGCGGGGGTTCCCACTGGGGTGCCTGGCCAGCCTGGGTGAGGGGATGATGGCTGTTTGCAGCTGGTCACACACCCTTCAGGGTGGGGGTCCCCAATGGGGTGCCTGGCCAGTCTGGGTGAGGGGCTGAGGGCTGTTTTCAGGCTGGGGGTGACTGAAGCTCCCAACTGCTCCTTTTTTTCTTTTTCTTTT